GCTCTATGGTTCCGTCGTCGAACTGCCAGCTTTTGTGAATAAAGAAGATGCTATGCCCGCACTTAGGTCCTCTGGCCACCTTTTCTTTTTTTTTCTCCCTTCACCAAAATTCATCACTTGGCGCGCGGCAATAGAAAAACCTGGGGTCATGCCGGTACAGTTGTGTGGTGCAGGCTACACAAGCTCGGAGAAGTGCTTGTTCTATAGCCTTGTGTGATCACATAGCCTTACAAGGGCGCGTAACAGCTGTCTGCCATGCCGCAGAGACCTGCGCACAAAGGCCGAGCGAGAATCATTTATTATCAAGGCCGCAAACGTTTCTAACGAGCAAAACATTAACTGGTGAGGCACGCACCTGCAGAAGATGTGCGATCAAGGGCTTCACCAATGCGCCCAAAGAAGCTCAGAGAGCGTGCACTGGTGGTTTAGCGGGCTGTAGCACCGCCCCTCGAGCACCTTGTCGCTTTCTGCTCCCTACGGCATGACACTTCCCCGAAAGTACAATACCAACTTCGTTTCTTTTGAGCTTCAGGGAGTCACCACAAAGTGTGCTCAGCGGCGCTTTGGCACTTCGCGTGTCTGGAAATAGTGTGCAGATTTTCCCAGGTACATCTGCCAGCTCGCAGATATACTTCCCGGGGCGAAGCAGGTATACTTGCCGACAGTTAGGGTGACAAAACAAGTGTCGACGAATGGTGGGCCGATTAACACTTTTCTGACCGTGCCCTTAGGTCATCCACCCCTGGTGATCGAGTTAAGTTTAGTGGGGAGAATTATATTTCACAATCTAGTGGATAGCACAAAAAGTCTAGTTTCGTTTTCAACGTAGGTTTAAGCTTTATCACAGCTGGTGGGGTGTCAAAAATAGACTTGGGACTGGTCGTTGCACTTGTCTAACGTGGCTAACTGCTTGCATTAGTCTTTGTAGCAAACGTGGCATTATTTACATGATTCAACAGTATTGTTGCATTTTGTTTAGACCACAAGAGCTCTGGGGACACTTCAAGTTATGTTATAGCCATTGCTTAACAGATGGTCGTCAGTAAGCATCGCTAAAATTTCTAAGGCTGTCTTGAGCCAGCGTGCCCGTTTTATGTTCCCAACAAGGCTCAAAATGATCTAAATGCGAGGGAAATTTAATCAAGGCGATGAGAAAACCGAGTTAGAACACAAGGAAAGTATTGTGCTGGTGATTAGATGTGTACTGTACACCTTTTACCAATATAAGCATTCCTTCGTTGAAAAGCAGACTTGCTACGGAGGCTAACGCTCCGACGAGCCAAAAATAGAGGACGTCACTTAGATTACGCTAACCTTCAGAAGTAGTATTCGTGGTTGTGGGGCACATTCTCTATATTAAGAAGTTTTCTCATTTGTGGTTTAATTTGACATAGCTGTAAAAGTTTCTGTTTTGTAAGCCTTACGCATGTACATAGTATTTAAAAAAACACAATTTTGAAAATCTTTTTTTTTTTAACGTTATATTGACCTGTGTCTGCTGAGAGAACATGTCATTGGCCAAACTTTGATGTGTAATATTTCTCCATACGCAAGCCAGTCCGGAAAATAAAGCATTGGCACTAATTCTTTGAAAAAGACAATCCTTCCCGTGGTCAGGAAACAATTATATATGTGTTAGAAAAAAGTTGTCGAAGTTTCAATTAAACGTTTCTCTATAAAAAAAACGCTACGGACCCAATTTTTTTAACGTGAAATATTCTTTAGATCTCAATTTAATTTTCAGTGAAGTCGCGCCGAAGCCTCGAGGCCTCTAATTTGGAACCTCCTTGGTCGAGAGAAGTCATGTAGTTGTAGCCATGGAAACACATCAAAATAGACACTTCACTAAATAAAGAGAGAGGCCAAAAAGTGGTCTCCCTCTCAAGTACTGACTGTGCACCTTAGCTTCGGTGGTCAGACGAGAACCAGCGTATTCAGCATGGTATGGCCGAGGGCAGTAAGAGCACGACTGAAGGAAATTACAACGACTAAAACTTAGTCCCGTTTCAGACTGGGCAATTTCTCCCGGCAACTTGACGTCGCAACACCAGCAACACGGGCCGCCCGCGTTGACACGCAGCAACTAATTGCTACAATTTCCATCATCATCATTACGCTTTCTTTTTATGCACTATTTAGACACACACTGACGCCCTATAAGCATGTTTTTGTGTCTTTAAATGGCGTTGAGAATACTGACTCATATTTTTGACACAGTTTATTCCCCAAAACGATCAATTTCAAAGCAGGAGCAAGTCTTTAGTTGTCATCATAATTGGCACAGAGTGTCAATTGAAAATATTGCGTCCCTGATTGACTGCTGCCGCTTCAAACATCTCCGAGTTGTCCGAGTTGCTCGTCATTTTCAAACCGGGTGCGATCCGTGCAATTCGTGTTGCACTACGAGAGGCTAGGAAACAACTCGCCAGCAACACCGAAATTGCTAGGAAAAATGCCGCCCCTTGCGTGTTTTTTTTTTCAGTGGTTTTTTCTGCGCTTTTTACTTTATCGTGAACCAGTACCAACCAGCCAAGCTTTCAACACTGCTGCTTAGAATAGACCCATCCCAAAATTACGGAATCTTCAGGCAGATCTGGAAACTCTGCACAGTAACTTCAACTAAAGTCACCATCAAGGTGGCAAGGCTAGCTGTCTACGCCCTCATGTGGGGTAGTACAAGCCCTACAGGGATGGGCAGGTACCACATAGGTGTCGCAGGACCACTGTATCGCTGAGCTGCTTTCTTTCGTATAATTTTGAAGAACAAGAAGTGAACTATATATAAGCGATTGAGTTTCAGTTTTGATGGTGTCTTTTGCACACGCAGCAGTGCAGTATTTTCAACACTGCTTGAATAGGGGGTAATTTCGGGATGAGTCTATAAGGACACGTGACGTAAAGTTGTGGGGCAATTACGTTTCACGTAATTGCCCGAATCGCGTATAAATTTGCCATACATGTTTTTCTAATGACTGTGACACCATGTCTCTCTGTATATGTACAGACAGAAAATAATAGACCGACCTTACCAAGCGTTCGGCGCATGCTTGGTAGTTTCAAATGATTTTTTCTATTCTATTTTTAGTGACTACTAACATTAGTTTTTAGACAACACTCTAATAACACTGCCAAAATTTCCTTCTATAGAACCGCCATGGTTAAACCGCTTGTGAGATTGTTGTTATGAGACTGAAAAGCAGCTCCATACGTCACTGACCGTGCCCATAACTAAATTGATGACTGTTAAATACAGCATTTTCCTCTTTTTTAAATTCATGCTCACAAATAAATATGTTTCTGAGGTAGAGGTATTTATGACCTCTTCATTTCTCTATTTCTAGAGTTCATCTGCCAGAAGTTCAAGGTTCTGAAAAAAGGCCCAGTGAGGACGTCATTGTCCTCATTGCTGAACAAGGAGTCAAACAAAAAGAAACTTTGTGATTAGGTCTTATTTTTCTCCTTCAATCAGTCCTTCAAATAAAGGCGACAAAAATATTACTTTTGTGCTTGTTTTTGATACCTGGACGTTTGTAATATAGCATATATTATAACCAGTACAGGTTTTCAAAACAGGTATAGAATCATACCTTACAAGAAACTATTGGTCAGAAAAGAAACCTAAGAAAAATGTGCAGCCAGCTAAAAGAACCTTACGATGAGCCATACAATACCATAAAAAAAATTATAGACGGTTAAAGAAACCGAAGAAAAATCTACAGACAGCTATAGATTGTCGACTAAAGGGAGTCATAGAGTAAGCCATAAAATATTCTTTAGAAGGCCATAAAAGATTCATTAGAAGGCCACACAGAAAACAATAGAATTCTAAAGAAACCAAGGGAATACTCATTAAGAGCTATAGCCTGCTGGCTAAAGAAATCAAAATAAGTGCAATAGATGTCTATAGCGCGGCGGCTAAAGAGAGCCATATAAAAGTTAAATACTTTTATAGTTAACCAGCGATAAACTCATAGTGAAAGATAAAGACGCCCATAAGCGAGACCGTAAAAAAATCTCAAGGCTGCCGTAGAAAAATATACAGCTGATTAAGCCAATTTTCTATAGCCGACCAGGCAAAATATTTTCTACAGCCTACCCTAGGATATTTTTGTATGGGTCCCGTTTACGTCAGACACGGGGAATGGGCTCGCAAGCGGAGCAAGCGGAATATGTGAAAGAAACTCCAATATCGCAGCTCAGCCGCGTCAGCAACAGCTTGGCAGGGCACTGACCCGTGTATGAAGTGTGTGCCGAGGACGAAGGCAAGACTTGGGTCGTTGTGGCGCAAGATAAGTGACAGCAATGGGTAAAGATTTCTTTATCTTTTAATGGTGATTAGGGAACAAATATCCAAGCTAGCTGGTTACGAAAGGAACAGTCGCAGGGTCATCCTTTTCATTATCGAGCGATACCTGTTCAAAGCAGACGATGTGGCAAGAGAACCCGAATCGGCCGGCGTTCGCGGAGCACGCCATCTGTAGGCAGCACTTCTTTCTACACGTGTATCGTCTGCGAAGCGGCGCCGTGAATTAACCAAAAGAGTTTTTTTTTTTTTTTTTTTTTTTTTTTTTTTTTAGGTAAGTTCGTTCTTGCATATTTTTTTCCACTCTAAACTTCCACCACTTGGTTGCACCCCTGAAGTAAATTGCAGTGTGATACGTTGAAAAACCATTCTTTCAGGGCCGTCTAAAGTGCCTTAAAAGCGTTAGCTTGCATGTTGTTGATTTCATTAGCAATCTTGGTTGATACCATCAACGAAAGGGGCATCAAAAACTGCAAACAGGAAATTACATTTGACGCCCCGTCTATCGTTTGGAGTACAAGTAAATTTACACGATTTTTTTTAAAATGAAAAGTAAATTTGTAAGCTCTTTCCAAAGCACGCCTCAGAGTGGCACCGGCAAGTTCCAGTTTCAAGTATAGTTCTACGAAATCGCGATATGCTAAAACTCTTGAATAAGAAATACACCAGTAAATTTGACTAAAGAAAAGACATCAAAAACGTTCTTGATATTATAATTTTTAATACGCACCAATCACTGGGTAGAAGCATAATCTGGAATTACTTATGTTTCTAGTCGGAAGCGAATCCCTGTAAAACTAGCTTCGCATACATATCTTACTGTAGCAGTCCTCGTTACGACCATTGACTTCACCCCGCTCGCAGACCCAGGGCAATTGCGTTGCACATAACCGCAAGGCGCAGTGGTCATCTCTGGTTGATTTGAGCCTTGTCTCTCCCCTGACCCGGTCCCGCAAAATCGGGCAGTTCCCATCCGGTTCCGCTCAACACTACCTAGGTACTCACAAGGCCTACTTCCACTCCCCATGACGTTCGATAACGGCGGGCGCGGCCAATATCTCACACCTTGACTGTGAGGTCCAATACCTAGCTGTGTCCGGGCAGATGATGATTTGTTGATTATCTGTAGGGTACACAGTGCAAAGGCCTTGTACTTGAATTCCTTTTCACCTTACGATGAACCGCAGCGGAGACTACAAGCCATCGGAGCCAATCCAGTACTGTCTTAATGTCACGTGACTTTAGTGAGGGCTTCACAGAGCTGGATTGGCTGGGATAGCTCGCAGCGTCCGCTAGACTTCATCGTAAGAGGAAACAGAGTTTAGGGGGCGTTGGGCCGCATTCCCGCACAGTGGACATCCGCAACCAATCAACACTGGATCTCCGCAGACCCGCTATTGAGTTTGTCTTTCTGGTCCTTGACACTGACAGTGTAGCAGAACTCCTTATTGGCGAACCAGCTAGAACTGTTGTCGAACTTGAGTATGTCTGAAAAAAAAAAAAAGAGTTGTTAGGTGGGTCAGTAAATTATGAGAGCTGTTTTTTTTTCTGTTTTTTGTTTAGAGCACGGCAGTCATCTGCGACAACGGCGACAAGAATTCGAAAGAAACAGTGATTTCGTGTGCACTTTCAGACGCTTAAAAGAACGGAAGTCCGGGCTGAAGCACGAAAGCCCCGCAGCGTTGTGATGCAGATCCACACTGCAGCGGGGAAACAGAAGGTAGCTTACATGTTCCTGGCTCCTGGCACTCGAGCTGGCCGCTCTCGGGAAACATGGTGCAGTTGACCTTCCTCAAAGGCAGCACTTCGCTGCTCGACTGACCGCCGCTCCGGAAAGACAGTCCGAAGCACAGGTCGTTCGACTTGCTCTGGAAACACCAGTCCAGGACTGCGCCTGCTCGCTCCACGGTCACGGGTACCTCAAGGACGGCTCCCCGGGTAAGGCTACACTGCTTGGCGCCGGGCTCGGTCCACAGGCCCGGACTGTGCACCGCGTAAAGATCGCATGGCACCTCTCCCCCGGGGCGGACCTGCGGGCAATGCCCCTGAGCTCTCTCCTCCGTGTCCCTTGTACGCCCATCAGGGGTGCTATCAAGCATCACCGATGTTGTTTCCCAGAGGTAGCTATATTACCTTTAAGCTATTTTTTTCATAGTTGTGTTAAGAGCATTTAACTGAACGTCGGGTTTTATTCGCAATAGGAACTTTTAGCAGACCATTCACGTACTACTGTTACCGTGGGCCAGACTGCGCATGCGTCACCACGTAGCGTTCAAATCCTGAAAAATTTGATTTCAGCATGCCGGTGATTCCTACCGCTGTACCGGAGCTCGACTGTTCACAAAGTTTGGCGGCAGTCAATAAATTTATACAAATGGTGGACCAATAACGTGGGATAATGATACAACTAAGGATCGGCATAACCTGGCTCCTGATACTCAGGGATAGCGTTTCTTGACAATGCAGTCAAAGCTGTGGGCGTACTTGAGCTCGCAAACCCTGGGCACCGAACAAATTTACTCGTGTGCCCTCTTTATTTCTTCTGATATGTCATGAAAAGCTGCCCCAGAGTGGAGTGCACCGGTACCGTGCTTGCCGCTAAAATGAAATGAAAAATGAAGTCAGCTAGGCTTCCTGCACGAGTGAAATGCCCTAGTTACGCGAGCTCACCGTATTTTGTGGCCACTAGCAGCGGGTAGACACAACTTTACCCAACAGGAGTCCCTCAATCCATGTTGTCAAAATTAAGAGAAGTGTTTTGTTCTGAGGCAGATTACTTTTAAAAGTAATTTCGTCTTGAATATATGCGTTTAATGACTATTATAATAACGCGCCTTGCTCCCACTTTATGGCGCACAAAAACAACACTATAACGGGTATTTCATATTGGAAGACGCTTTTAAAAACGCATGCTGCGAACCAGCTCATATTAATAGCCTTCTACGACGAACAATCTTGATGGTGCGGAATGCACGTTGCAAAAGAACTGTTGAAGCTCGCCGTCAGCAAGGGGGATCGGTGGCCGAGTGGGCTAGCGCACGCTAAAGTCACTGGGCGCACACCAGCTTGGAGCACGTGGATCGAAAGCTCGCTCTGCAGAACCCAGGGTAGAGTGTACTAGAAGGTACGAGCAGTTGCACCTCAAAATGTGGAAAGCGACCAGGTGGAACCACGGGGTGGAACCAAGCCACTTTGATCGCAGCGCCACCTTCGCTGCGATAAAGCAACGACACAGGTCAAGATCATATGGGGAATATAGCCCCTTAAGGGCTATTAGCGATGTGCGCGACCAAAAGCGTCGCTGCGGTCAGCTTTACACGATTGGCCAAACCATGGGCATATGAGCATTGTCAGATTGTCAACTTTGACGGTGTTAGTTTCGGATTGCGATGGCTTTTATAGCTTCCACTGTGCTTTTCAAACACACCACCGAACTCGTCGTCGCACCTGATGGTAAGTAGCCAGGATAACAACTGGTGACGTCACGGCGAGGCAAATCCCAGTCGTGAAGTCACGGATGGAAACCATAAGAGGTCGCAACCGAAACATCTCGGCTAAAGCCCCTTGATAAAAGCGTTTTTTACAAGTACCGCCAACAATTGTTGTGAAAGCGCGCGAGACACGTGCCATGAGCGGGTGCTCCGCGGCCCTTCGCTTCCAAGGCCCGCTCATTTCAGTGCTGCGCCGCCATTTGCTTCCAAGGGCCGCTCGAGACATGGGCCTCGTGCACTCGCGCATTTGACGCTACTTGCAAGACAAACGCAAACACATCGAGGGGCTTTAATCTCGGCGCTAATAGACGCTTTACACACGCGCCAAATTACAGCCGCCATTGCTGACCTTCTCTTGTCTTACCAAGATGCCGAGCAACTAAAACGGTAGTTGACGATCCTCTACAAAGGCCGATGCTTTAGAAAAGGACACAGTTGAATATAATATGTCAATAACCTGGCCTGCTATGGTAATGATGAAGTGAAATAAACAGAATAAAAGGAAACAAAAACTGAAGGTCAGGTCATAGAGTTATTACAATAAACGCTAGGCTCAGCTGGCGCTAGTGTGCTGTTGCAAATTGAAGCAGACAGCATGCAGTCAGAAATTGACTTCCGGTAATGCATTTCTATGGGAAAAAGCGAGTGCATTTTCTCTCTGCGCTCGATTATAAGAGCAAATATCACGAATAATTTGTACGTACTAGGCACATTGGAACATTTCTCAGTCACGCAGACGAAATAATTGGTCAGTTACAGCACTTTTATTTGAAATTTGCGGCATTAAAAACGGTGTTAAAACCGCTTCGTACGTGTATTTATGTGCACTGTCGGACACTGTTAGCGCGAACACGGCGTCGACGCTTTCCAGCATGGGGAATATACGTGCCAAACGAACGAACGACATGTGGAAAACCAAGAGAGACGGCAAGAACTACGCAGTAACATTGGGTAAGTAACTCCTTGTGCTTGCAGACGATCAAAATAAGTTGAAAGTCACGTAATATAGTCCGATTTGCAATAAATAAGTACCGCTTTATTCTTTCTGCTCATGAATATGTGCGAAGATGCTTGTTCTGTGTTCAAGTCATCACCCGCACGCTCCAAATCTTTGCAAATAGGGGGAAGCCAGAGCACAGGTGCGCGATAAAAACTGCCCAACATAGGAAATAACAAGAAAACACACCTTTCGTAGCCCACGTACTTTATTTTTTACGTTTCGAACGTTTTTTTTTTAACCGCTCGTAGAGATGCACGACGGGGTCATTTTCATATAGTGAGAGGACAGGCATATTAGCAATAAATAAGCACCAGCGGAATGCTGGCGAACTTTGAACACACTCTACATTCCTTTCGATCGTTATTTTACTTAGAATCGTCGCTCGTTTCTACATACCTGCCATGGAACAGAGGTTTGGGCCTGAAATATAGCGAAGTTTAACATCGTTCAGTGGTAAAGGAAAAATGCTGTAACTAAAGCAATTACACTTACGCAATATTAATAAAGGTACATACTACCCGGTACAACCGAAATAACAAAAGTTATTAATGTTGTTTTCCGGCGACGAGACAAAATTCACGCGCGTTTTCCCATAGGAATACACAGGAAGACTGGAAAAGTAGACTGCATGCTGTCTGCTTCAATTTGCAACCGGAAGTCCCATAGACACTAGCGCCAGCTGAGCCTCTAGCGTTTATTGTAATAACTCTATGGGTCAGGTATGGCGGCGTCCATGCACAGCTGCTGCAAAGCGTCTATATTGTATTTTTTATTATTTTGAGGTCAGAGGTAAGGTCAAAGCACCACGACACGACGACGCCGCGACGTCATCGTCGACGACGTTGCGGGATGCCAAGATGCTGTCGTAAGGCCGTCGTGACATCGCGTCGCATCGAGGACGACGCCGTTTGGCGACATCAAGTCGGCGTTGTAACGCGGTCGTGACGTCGCGTTGAGGACGACACCGTTACGCGACATCAAGTCGCCGTTGTGACGCGGTCGTGACATCACGTTGCGCTGAGGACGACGCCGTTACGTGTTATCAAGTCGCCGTTGTAACGTGGTCATGACTTCGCGCGCCACATCGAGGACGACGTGAACATGGTCGTCGATTCCGACGTTGACGTCGACGCCCCACGCAAAGTCAAACATCGCTATGACGTCACGTTAACGTCGTCCTGACGTCATCGTGAACGTCAACATCACGACCAAGCCTTGACGGCGTGTAATGTCAACGTCGACCTCCTAAAATTGTCGGGACGTCTTCGTGAAGTCGAGTTGCGTCATGTCGACACCGACGTCGACGAACTGACACCAGGCGTCCTTATGACGTCGCACTGACAAGGACGCCGTCATCTTGACGTTCCGTGACGTTGTCGTCGTCATCGTCAACGTCAACGTTGACATCGTCGTCGTTGTCAACGCAATATGACGTCAGAATGCAGTCTTGATGTCGTGTAACGCGCGTTGCCACCGTCGATGACGCCGTTGACGTCAAGGCGTCGTCCTGATGTCGCATGGCGTTGTGACAACAAGTCAGGTCGCGGTGACTTTATGTACGTGACGACTGACGTCTAGGTTGTATAAAGATATAGTCCGCCGTTCTATTGTTTTTATGCCCCTGACCAGTGTGCCGCTCGAGCTTGGGCTTGGAACAAAACGGGTTTTTCATTAAAAAAAAAAAAAAAAAAACGGCTAATCCAAACCACTTCGCTTGTAGCGCCCTCTCGGGCGCTACGACCTAAGTGGCTTGGATTAGCCGGTTTTTTCTACATGCGGAGGTACCTAAATAGCACCCCGGTGGCCTTACTTGTCCCGTCTAGTACACTCTAGTAAGGCCAACGGTAAGGTGACCACGACAACTCGTTTCAGGCGCGTGACGCTGGTACGAGCCACGCATGCGCAGTTGGGCCCACGGTAACGGTAGTACGATAACGGTAGTACGGTAACGGTTTGCTAAACGTCTCTTCTATCTCGAATTATCTAGCACCCAAGAAAACATTTTTCGATACTTCGTTCTACCTTACGTCCGGACGATTCCGACGCTACGAGCCGATTAATCCTACCAGTGTCGAAAGCCCGTCACATAACATTCCCCGTTCTTGACTTGTTCATCGATGATAAAACTAGGGCTGGGCAAATGATCGATTAACCTACCGATTAATCGATTAATGCTTTAATCGCGATTAAATTTTTTAACTGGTTAATCGGTAAAATTTAGACGAACCAAAAAAAACTCAAAATTAAACACTTCCATAACACAGACGTGGACGAATACGCCTGTACGAAGGGTGACCTTTAGGTCAAATTTTAGAACAAAGTAAACTGTACAGGGACGATATTTTTATAGCATCCGATTAAGTACAGAGGTTACGCATGTCCCCGGCCATTTCAACGTAGTTCGAGTGTCTGTTTAGCGCAGTAGAGATTATTGTGAACAATGAAAGGAAGCCGCTCTTTCTAGAGAATATCAACGAACATCTTTGCCTCACGCGGCAAAAGTAATATTTAGCGAAAGGTCTCTGATACTCTTCTTAACTACATATCGAGATTAATTCATAATCTAAGTTGTACATTGCACCGTTTATCACAGATTCAGCAAAAAAAAAAAGACCTTTTTAATATTTTGCAATGAAATAAACGAGACCGATTAATCGATTAATTAATCGATTAAAGGGTGGCGATTAATCGGGTTAAAACTTTTAATCGACGCCCAGCCCTAGATAAAACCCATACGGGCACTCAATGGTCACAATGTTGCTGTTTTTTTTACGCTGTGTGATTTGTCCCATCAGCTCGTAGTGGTGGCTACGTTCGGACTTAGGGTCCAACAAAGTATAGGGACTTCCCGTAGAACATAGAACTCTGTCCTATGTCCCGAATGCCGCACACATTTATTGATTGCTTTCTTATCGGATGATCACAATATACAGAGCTTCCAACTATATTTCCCTTTACCCTAAGTCAGAGCGTTGCCATAGCCTAGAGGAAACACAAACGCCAACACAGACACCAAAGCATCGGGGTCACCCGGCCCTTTTCGTATTTGATTGAATGAGCCAGACGTAACGTACGAAAAAAAACGTCAAAGGTCATGACGCTGCACCTTTCGTGCTCCTTAATTTTTCCTTTTGTCTCTTAGCCCTGGCTCCGCTCTCACTTAGGGTGAAACTAAGTATGGCAATATTTGTAGTGTAGGGTTCTCAAAAAGTATTAACGAAGAACACGGTTGGAGTGCGGACGATTTCCCTAAACTAACTGATATGTCATTGAGAATGACAAAGTTCAGAAAACACTTTTCCACTACATAGGCGTAATTTTGCACTGTGAAAGCGATTATGATATGTCACTGGTTCAGTAACTAAACTGGGATCACATTTTGCAATCAAAAGGTTTTTGCATGTTTCGGTATGCGCAGCTTGCTTTCCATCCGATATGTTTTCGCGTAGACAGCAGGATAAGCAAACGTGCTCGTAATCTGTGCGTAAAAACGGACCTCAAGTCAACCGATTGAGACGACCTGGATTAATGGATGTACGGATAGTCGTGGCTATATATACCTTTCGTGCCGGGCGGCAGCTTGCGCCACCTAGCTTAGAAGATTTACTCCCCTCTTTAACTTTTGCTCTGAATTCCGGCCCTCGTTAAATAGTTTATCCCTCGTAGGAGTATCATCTCATTAAAAACACGAAGCCGCCTGTGCAACCGGCGCCCGTATTTTCTCAGCTACAACGTGTTTTATGACATCTGTTCAACAAGCTCGGAGTTTCAAGCTTGACGGTCAGTCACGACCTAACGATTTGTTTGCGGTAACTAGCTGTAAAAAATATTTAAAGTTACGCTACACTTTGAGGTTATCGGTGGCTGGGCGCAAGAAATCCCTTATATTAACAATAAAAATTGCCGGCAAAACAAAAATTCTTTTAGTTTGCTTTTTGGGGGTTTGTCTCGCGAATGCGAAAGAATGACGCTTAATGTTTTAGTCTGGAAAGTTGTCAAATTGCGTGTGGGAGGCCAAGTTGGTGCAGACACACGCAAAGGGCAACAACCATGGCAAATTACTAACTATGTTCTCTTTTATCTCGAGCATTAATAGACCCTTTTTAAAACCCCATCAAGCATGAAGCTTGTGTCATTGGACTCGAGTTCTGTCTGAACGCTGACGCAGCTCGTTCTCGATCCGAGCTGAATGGAGTTGACGCTGAACGCCGACATAGTCCTCGTGCCCAATGCATGCACAGAGTATACATGGGACCAAACAATGTCGGACTCGAATAATTGGAGTAGCCGCTACTGGATGGCACAGACTTTTGAAAAAGGTGTATTGAAGACTTTGGCAATAAAACTTGGCGTGACTGCTTTTTTTTAAAGGTGTTTGCTTGAGTGCATATTGCGGTAGCAAGCAGCAGGACGTACAATGTCGGAACATTTTGGGTCGCCGTCCGCACCACGGAGTTGTCCTCCCCAGTGCACGGGCAGCTGGTTGGGGTCAATGTATTCCAAAATCACCGGTTGCCAGTCTTCTGCAAGAGAGACAGAAAAAACAGAACACCCAGGGTTTTCTTTAACTGTGCCGCGATCGGACACGCTTTATCTCTAGTCCCCGGCAGTTTTTACGGCGCTAAGTTAGGCCGTCGGCGTGGTGGCACGATACGGCCACTGGAGCGCTTGAAAGCATGCTTCTAAGGGCCAACGCGAGCTTGCGATAACAATGCTTTTCCTTACAGTAGCCTGCTGTGTCGCTGCAGGCTACTGTAAGGACAGTAGCCTGCAGCACGAGCACTTTGCGTACCACGTCGTGGTCGCACAATGAGTTCTTACTACATGAGCAAGGTCTAGGAATTCTCTATGAGGCCCAATCAGAAAGAAATCGAATGTGGCTTGTGCACGAGCCATTGGGATAGCTTAGGGTATCTTTTTAACTCAAGTACTATATAGACCCGTACCATCGTCGCCGTATGTCGGCTCATAGAAGTCACCGGAGTTCCCGTTGACGACCGTCACATGTGATTGTGCGAGACCGTTAGCGCGAACAAAACGTCGGCATTTCCCTTCAAATATTACTTGAACACGGTAATGGCGAACCTCATACTTATTCCGCTTTGGTTACATTAGAAGTCTTCACGACAGCCTTTTAATACTAAGAGTAAAAAAAATAACGACATCAGTGATGTATAGTTAGCGTTAACAGTTTCGTGCAGTGTACGTTCTATTATTCTTAATCTGGATATACTTGTTTCATTTTTTTTATTGGTAGCGGTATGTTTTTCAAGTATTCGGGGCCGGGAATCTTTCCTGGTGGTTGGGGAAGCCCGCATCAGTGTCTTGTTTTGCTCAATATAAACCTCGGTAAACTTGGAATTTTTGTCTAACATCGAAGAGAAATACCAAAAAGAGCAAAATTGTTGGTAAACGTAAACCGCTGTAAACACCCCTGAATTTTCGAAAAGATACACCCCCAAAACAACCTCCCTCTTATATACCTTTTTTTGGAAGTTACGTGTCTAGTTTTTAGATACCAAAACCGTGGAAAGTAGTAAATGGCGAACGTAGCGTGCGGATCTGTCGAAAAACAAAAACGACGTTAGTCGCATTTCTATAACCAGAACGCTGTCGGTGAGTGTTGGGTTCGCTATTGTAAACACAACGCACACCGGCAACGACTCTTTATTTAAAGGTGAAAAGAAAGCAAATTGTTGTGTGCATGTTTATACAGCCGGAAGTTAGTTTGCCTCAGTGGGCGTCTCGTCTCTCAGCTGTAGATGAGCAATTTAGCCAGTGCAGTACCACCGCTAGCCTGGGGTCTTTAACGTGCACCAGGCAGTAGTGATGCACTACCGCACGGCGGTACGTTCAAATCTGAAGATAACAAAGCAAGCATAAAGGAAACAGAGTTTAGAAGACGAAAAAGTGATTCGTTTGTTTCCACACTCGTCGCCGAACAAGCGAATGGTTTTTTTCCTTGGCTCCTTCGCAAAGGGGTCGAGGTTCGATGCCTGGGAGATGACGCAGTTTTTTTTTATTATTGTTTCTGTAAATTTTGAGTTCTCCTAAATTCGGGAACCCTGCTGCTCGTTCGAGGTTAGAATGTTCTACTCGCCGAACTTTCTACGCCGATTCTTCCAGAAGCCCACGCGTGGATATAAGGGGCTTCGCATGGCGAGCAAGTGTCAGACTGGCCCCAGCGTTCAATCCTGCTGTTTCGCTGCCACCGACGCGTGCGACGCGAGACTTTTTCTATTTTGTTTTGAGCACCTGTTCGCCCCATTGAACGTGTAGTTTGCTTCAGTTTTCGTCGCCTCATCAATTGTCATTCGTGACAATATATGAAAATATTACATTGAAGACACAATATTCTCCGCCCCCCTCTGCCATCCCCACATCCCCACCATTCCGCCCATCTTACCCGTCGCTACCATCCCCCCATTTTTTACATATCCGATGCATTATACCAAATGAAAGAAGAAAATAGGGAAGAAAGAAAGGACAACGAAAGTAATTAAACAAAAAAAGCAACAACAAAAAGTGACAAGAATAAAATTGTTCACGTTATAAGTCATTCAACAAAGTGGCATATCTTGTGACATAGTCAGCGAATAGCACTGGACGTCTATGTTTTCGTCGTGGTCGCTCTGGTCAGTCAGCATGAGCGTCCTGCTAGGATACGGGCACAAATCCTGTTGAATTGGAAATGTTGAAGGCCCATCACGAGCTGGAGATGTGCGCCACGGATGTGGCTCTGCCGGGTGTTCGTTAATAGAGGTAACGTAGCGGAATTTGGTAACCTTGTGTTGGCCATGCCAGATATGGATATGGATATGGATATGGATATGGATATGGATATGGTGGCTTAACCCTTTGTATCGGGCGATCACAGTTTTAACAAAACTGGATCTAGCCAAAAAGAAAAAAAAAAAAAACTAAATTTGATTGCCATTGCCCCCCACCCTCCTCACAGTTTTCCCCCACCAGTCCTCCAGTCTTCGCTTTGCGATTTCAACCACCCCGAGGCCGCCGACGCCGCCGACATCCCCCCGCTGACTGCGCTGGCCACCATGGTCTCGACTTCCCACTTCATTGATGCACGTCGTCTGCGTCGTCTGCCCCTGCCCTGTCGATGGTGTCGGTCCCAAGTCCAACCTTTTCAGACCCAGTGCAACCGCATAATCCACCAGATCTGGTGGCATCAGCGGTCTCAGCTCTCGGCACTCCAGTATGATATGTTCAGCTGTCTCCTCCTGCTGGCCACATAGCTGGCATGTACCGTCCATCCCCGGCGTGTACTTGGACCTCAGGTGGCGTGTCCTCAACACTCCACTTCGTGCCTCACACAGCAGCCCACTGCCCCTCGAGTTGTCGACGAAATCCACGCCCACAATGCTCTTCTTTTCCGCACCGTAGACGGCGAGGGACGGCCGCGCGCCTACCGCGGCGACCCATCTGGTCGTTTCTGTCTCCTTCACGCGTTCCCGCACCTGTTTCGCCGTCCCCGGAGATTCGACCTCGCACAGCAGCACCCGTGGCACGTCATATCGCTCCGTGAGCTTGTTCACTCTCCTTACCCACCGGGTGTTGATGCTTCGAAGGTGGATGTACTTGAACACCTGGCGAGCCCATCGTTGTTCCGGCAAAGTGCAAAGCCGCCGCTCGAAAATCAGTTTGCTGCTGGCCTCACGGGCCTCAAAGCAGGACCAACCCATGTCGCCCTGGACGTACTCACTGGTGGTGTTTCGATGTGTTCCCAGCGCCAGGCGACCCACCTCTCGCTGCCTCACTTCCAGATGTTCTCGTGTACGTGCCGACAGGCACAGTACGGCATTGGCAAAGGTCAAACCCGGCACCGCCACCATTTTCCAGAGTGCCCGCACCGTCTCGTATCGGCTGAAACTCCACATTCCCCTGCATCCCAGGTAGCCCTTGCGTTTGTTCGCCGTGGTCCGCAGCTCGGCCTCATGTTGTTCGAGGTACTTTTGTCCCGACTGCAGCGTCACTCCCAGGTACTTATATTCGGTCCTCCACTCTATCTCTTGGCCCTGGGTGTTCACTCTCTGCGACAGCTGCGTAGAGGCATCCTCTGTTTCCTGTTGCTCCACCCCCGCCCCAAGGACTCCAGACTTGCTGGGGTTGAACGTTAGCCCCAGGGTGGTTCCCTCTTTTCCACAGATGTCCAGTAATTCCTGAAGTTCCTCCAAGGACCCCGCCATAAGTACCACGTCATCTGCATAAATCAAGGCAGGGATCCTCTGATCCACTTGCCTCCCCTCTTCACCGTAGCACATCCTGAAACCCAAGCGACTGTCCTCCAGTGCTCTCTCCAGTCCTGCAATGTACAACATAAACAGAAGTGGTGAAAGCGGGCACCCCTGTCTTAGTCCTTTTGTGGCCTTTATGGGCTCGGTGAACTCTGCCCCCCACTGAACCACTACGTTGTTGTCTCTGTATATCTGTTGGAGCAGGTCCCTCCATTCCACCGGTATTCCCAACTCCTCCAATACCCTCCAGAGCAGCGAATGGTTCACAGAGTCATAAGCCTTGGAGATGTCCAAGAAACCGAGGTATAGGGACCTCTGCTCGTGGTTGGCGATCTCCATAGCCTGAGTGATTATGAACAGGTTGTCCTCCAACCTCCTTCCCTTGCGAAATCCGTTTTGGAGTTCCCCGAGTATGCCCTCATGCTCAGCCCAGCTCTGTAGGCGCTCCTTCAGTACATGCATGAAAATCCGGTAGAGCACCGAGGTCACTGTTATCGGACGGTGGTTTTTCAGGATGAGCTTGTCTCCTTTCCCCTTGTATAGCATCCTGATCCGGGATCTTTTCCAGTCCTCCGGTATGTCACCTGTTTCCATCACACAGGAGAGACCCTCTCGGAGCCGTTCCCTGGACTTTCCTCCCATTTTCTTCAGAAGGCCTGCTGGAATGTCATCTAGACCCGTTGCCGTATGACCATCCATGCGTTACATGGCCCTGTTCAACTCGCCCTGGGATATAGCTCGGCGCTGTTGGGTACTTCTCGTGCTGTCCCTCCGGGGGTCACTCTGTCTTACTGCATCTGGTTGTTCGAAGCTCTCCGTCATTGCCAGAGCGATGTGCCGGATACATTCCTGTCCAGTCAGGACTACTCCGCTTGTGGCATCCCTTATTGTTGTCGGGTTAGGCTCTGCCCATCTCTCTTCGGCCCTGACATGTTGCCAGAACTTTCTTGGGGCATCTCTGCCACTGCTTCGCAATTCCTCAAGCAGTTGTCTGTCCACCTTCTTCAGCTTTCTTTGCACCATAGTCGAGAACTCAATCTTTTTTTCCTGGTATTCTTCCCATGGTTTGAGAATATCCTCTCTCTGTGCCTTCATTTTGACTGCTTCACTGTGCTTCCTGGATGCTGCTCTCCTCCGGTTTCTTGCCTCTTCCACTTCTGTGTCCCACCATCTCTTTCTCCTTTGTCTCCGTTTTCGGTGTCCACTCCTTATTCCCTTGACCTTTGTAATCCACTTGCACATCCAACTCACCACGTCTGTGTACTGTCGTA